GAAGGGAAGCAATACCAGTACAGGTAGGGACTTAGGACTTGAAGGTTATAATGAGAGTTAAGAACAGGCTCAATAAGTGAGATAGTGGGAAAAGTTCAAGTACAGAAGATTATGATCAGAAAGAATTTCAAAACCCTGGAGTTGGATCAATTTTGGATGATGGTGCTTTTAAAAAAAATTAAATAATGTGGGCAGATGGGAAACTAACTCTGTGTGTGAGCATCATCTCCACAATACTCCATTTATAGATAGAACTAAACAGACAAATACAAAGACACTATCATAATTAGAAGTTCCCAGAACAGATGGATAGAATTGAGGCTTGAAGGGGGAGAAAAGAGAGGTTGGAAGAAAATCATCCTTTTAACAAAATAGCCTTCGCCCTGTTGGGAGTCTCAGGGTAGAATGGGTAGCTTGGTGTTCTTCAGCCCAAGAGAAATCAGAACATAGAATCTGGGAATGTTGGAAGCTTTGCAGAAACATTGGGGAGGTAGGTAAATTTGGAGGAGGGTGTGGCTTATCCAAAAGTTTCCCAGTTTTTCCTTTAACCTATGGGAACTTAAGGTAGTAGAAAGATGGTGTTCATGAGTTGAAGTAGTTAATTAATTGGAAAACTAGCATGTCAAAAGAGTCATTAAGGTAAGCCATTTGAGGGCAATGACTATTTTGTTCATCCTAGTGCTTAGCACATTGCCTTGCATATAGTATGTGCTTAATAAATCTTTATTAAATTGAGCTAGGATGAGGCAAGGATTAAACTAAAGAGATGAAGCTTGTTAGCCAGGTTCTTGAGACATTGAAGAAAAGGAAAGAATGGCCTGGAGAGTAGATAAATGATAACAATGAGCATACACATTTGGTGATCTAATTGGAGGCGGGCACTTCAGAGGAAGGAGGGGATGTGAGAGTCCAGAAGTGGCAATGAAGAGTCAAGGGTATTTGGATTTCTCCAGGCACTTTGTATGGAAGTGAAGTAAGGAGAATATGAGAGAAGTAGCTTCCAACATTGAAAGAGAGTGGTCTGGGCAATTGTGAAAAGAAACCAGGAAAACTGACCATGCTTTAGCTTTCTTTACTTGTCAGGAAATTTCATGTTTGAATCATCCAAGGAGAGTTTTTCAGTTTGTGGATTAACTATGACTTTTGTTTCCCCTTCCCTGGGGTAAAGTAGGCCTTTATAGTAAGAGTTACTGTAATTTATTTGAATGGAATTGAATTAGAGAGCTTATGATTGAAAAGGCCTTTTTCATTGCCATGATTTCCCACAATATACATGAAGCTACAGAGACTTTCTGACCGATTTCCCAAGGAGGCAGTGTGATTTAGAAGAGAGAATTCTAGCCTGGGGCTCAGAATTAACCAGTCAACAAGAATTTACTAAGCTACTACTATGTGCAGCTCTCTGGGGATACCAGTACAAAAAGGAATACTCCCTACTCACCAGAAGACTTAGAGTTGATCCTCAGCTCTACAATTAGCTAAGTTGGGGCAAATCAGTTAACGTCCTTGGGCCTCAGTTTCCTCATCTCTAAAAAATGGGTGAGGGATAGGTGTGAACTAGATAATTGCTGAGGGCTTTTACAACTCTAAGTATTCTAGTTTTTATTGTTTTGGGCCTTGTGTAGGGTCATTCCCAATTTTAAAAGGTTAAATGTTGCTTTCCAGAAAGCAACTGCTTCAGTAGTGGTCTGGCTACTTCTAGTTAAATCAACCATGGATTCTTAGCAGATTCTAACCTGTTCAGCTTTACCAGCTCATATTTTTAGGTCTTGTCCACAGCATCCTTGGCCTGTCCTCTTTTAGCAATCTGGCTTCCCGTCCCTATAGTCATCATCAAAATTGTTTTCTCCATAGTAAAGTTGCTGCTGCTTCACCTTCTCCTTGGAATGGGGCATTTCAGGATTGTCTAGTATTGATAGCTGCTCTGCTGCCAACTCGTCGTTAACTTTCCTTCCTGCAGTGCATTTTCCTGCTTCCCATCTAACCTGAACACAGTTTTATACAACCCTGTAACACTCAACACAATGAAGTGCCCATTTATTATGTTATCAAAAGCTATAACAGAACCAACTTACCCAAATTTCATTTAATGAGCATTCCTCAGTGATGGAAAAGTAATTACACTTCCTTGGAAACTCTGAATTCCTTTATTATTCTATAGGTCCTTGATGCTGAGTAAGGCATTTCTTTGCCAAAGTATATTTTTATATGTTTTTTTTTGGGGGGGAGGGTAGGAGTACCAGGGAACTGCCAAAGGCACCCTTCTCCCTTTTTTAATTAGTAGACTTACTTAGGAGGCCTTTGTTTATTTAACTTCCTTTGTAGCCAGTATCTTAAAAATCTATTATCTGGGAAAATAAAAATGCTTTTTAGCATCTTTTCCAATCTCTTAAAAAAGATTTTTAGATACTATAAAATGAAGAAGTAATTTCACCACCAATCATTGCTCTATTTCTTAAAAGTTTGTAGTCAACCAGCAATAGTTTGAATTGTAATTTGCCTATAGCATATCATGCTTTGCTTAACTACAGATGATAAAGTTCTTCATTAACAAAATTCATTACTTCTTTTTGACTTTTATTTTTCCCATAGAAGTATTTTAGGCCCAAACCCTTAATTTTTTTCCCCTCCTTGAAACATTAGAGTCGGGGACATGAGAGGTAGGGTTGTTCATCAGTTTCTAACTGAGAGTGGGAGGAAGCAGGGAATCTGAGTGAAGAGTCTGGATAACTGTTCAGTTCTGCTATAGTCGGATTTTGACAATGCAGTTGGTTGATTTACCCAATCATTCCTTCATTCATTTGCTTATCTTATTTATTTTTGTTCAGAGTGTTGGGAACTTACAGAACATTACACATAGCAGTATTCAGATGTGAGTACAGAAAGAGATCACTTCTTGGTTTTAGTCCTACTTCTTCACTAACTATGAGATCTTGGGGAAATCTCTTTAATCCCCCCCCCCCCAAAGGGATGTTATAAAATGGAGAAGTGATTCCACTGTGAAAAACCACTCTTCTGGCAACAACAGAGTGAGGAAGTTAGGGAACTCCCTCTGCCTTTGTTAGATAGGCAGTTGCTCTGTACCAGGTGGTCTTAGGGACTTGCTGGGATCACTGAGAGGTAAGGTGTCTGGCCTGAGATCACAAAGCTTTCGTGTGTCAGAAGTGAGACTTGAACCTAGAGTTGACTGCCCATTAAACCTGACTTCCTGTCATTGTATATGTACATATATGTACATACACATATGCTTATGCCATCTTCCAAAAGTCTTAGAGTTGTTTTAAGCTACGGAAATTTAAATAATATCTTTTTGTGGGAGGGACATCCTGTATGTGTAAATATGTTTATATAATATCAAATTATTTTGGTAATGACACTTTCTTCTTCCATTGGCTACTAGCAAATTTACCTTCTTTGAAACGATTTCTAAATTATACTTAAATATTTCCTACATGTAGCCAAATAAACCTTAATTTGCAATCTAATTCCAGGTGCCAGCATTAGCAAAGTTGCATTCTTCCATGCACTTTTCTTTGTAAACTCTGGAAAACCTATAGTTTAGATGTGCCGATTGTATCAAGAGCTGAAACCCTGCATCCTAAGTATATCATTCAAAAGAGCTTGGCTGAACTATTGAATAAAATAAATAGATGAAGAATCATTGTTGTCCAGAGTATGATAGGCAGTTGGATAGATGACCTACTCTGTTCATTCATCAGAATATATGTATGTGATTTGCAACTATATGATACTGCAAGGTATGAATTCTATAGGTTCACAAGAATTGAGTTTAAGGATTCTCAGAGGGCAGTGAAAGGGTAGTACAGGGTGAACATAAGCAGGCAACACCTTAAGCAGGGAATTAGACAAGAGAAGCAGTAGGAAGTAAAGTCACCAGAAAACAGGTAGAACTGGAAGAAAAAATTAACTGGTTACTTAGTGAAAGCTAGGATAAGATGAGGATGCGATATCATTGACGTCCTGTGTGCTTCACTGATATTCATGCACATGCCATGAAAATGAGAGGAAGTTCCTCAGCATTGTAGGTAAACCTCCTTTGGCAGATTTATGGTAGGACGTGGATAAGAGTTGCACAGGTCAGTCAGTCTTGGGTAGCTTTACAATCTACATTGTTGGCAAGAATACCCAAATTTGATGAGAACACAGATCACTGGTGCCTTGGAGTACCAGGTGACCTTGGTTAGAGTGGAAAACTCTTGTCTTGGAGACATAGATCCATCTAAGTAATCATATGCCAAGTGCAAGCAATAAGAGATTTAAATGAGAGGCAAAATGGGGGGGTTGAAATTTAATGTTCTGCTTAAAATAAAGAAAATACTAAACATTCACCTTTTATATAAAAGCAAGGAAATGGAAAACATTTCAATAAATATAATATTTAATACTATCAAAATTATTATCATAAGGACAGGGAAGAAATGGAAAGAAAAGGAGAGACAAGATCAGACAAAGCTACAGAGAAAGATAAAAACATGAAGGATTTAAGATAGAGAGGGAAAGACTCATGGGCTGGGGGTAGAAAAAAGGCTGTGAATATTCTGTTCGGCCACCCTGACCCGGATAGTTATAACTGAAATAGAAATTCAAAGACCCAAAGTTTAGGTTTACATATTTTGTGCTTATCCTAGGAATCTGGAGTTTCCCAAAGTGAATAAAGTTAAATTCTTCCATCCAGAGTTTCTTTCAAATGAGTCATCAAAGTCCCAGATGCTCAGCAGTAGTTGGAGCATCAGTTTCCTTAATGACAGTGCAGTTTTGTCTAGTTTCTCAATGTCATATTTAATGAATTACTAAATAATAGTGAAATATCAAGCTAGGAGAAAATAAAACTGGATATTTTTTCTTTTAAATTATATATCCATATTGAGAAGTTTTACTATTTGGGAACTTGATGCAAATCAGTTTGGAAATAAATTTATCTTGCAGCTTAATTTTGATGAATTTTGGTGTATTTTTAAAAATGTACCCATTTCTTTCAGTCACCAAACAGAGTCAACATGTTGGAATCATCCTAAAATGACAGAACTCTTAGAGTCCCTTGGTGAGTATTGTTTTATTAAATAATAATTAACTCATGGAATTTGTCAAAACTGCTGAGCTCTGTGTACTCTTCATTGAGTGAAACTCTTTGCTGGCATACCAAGTATCATGTGGTGTGGTTAAAAGGAACATACCCTACTTTCCCACAAAGGGTTCCATGTTAGGAAATAAATAGAAGCTGTATATTCAAGATGTGTTCATTTTGAAGAACAATTTAACATCAAAAGGATCTAGAATATACAGGGTTGACCTCTTCTCCTAAGTGGCAGGTGTAGCTCAGAATTGTGAGTCAAAATGAAATTTCAAGACATTTGATTCCTCTGATTTCCCTTCTACAAAAATATGATTTTGTTTTGTTAATCCAATTGTTGTACAAGACTCATTCTTCTCTTCTATTGAGTCTACCTGTGTTAAACATAAAGGACTATGTTGTCTATCCTTACTCTTATCTTTAGCCAAAGCCTACCAGGAAGAGTGCTGGCCCTGGAGTCAAGAGAGACCTGGATTCAAATTCTTCTTCTACTTTGTGTAACCTTGGGCAAGATACTCTCAGAGTATCATTATCCTTGTGGGTAAACAGGTTATAACACTATTTGTAGGCTATGTCAGAGGGTCTTTGTGAAGACATAATAATCATACTTACCATTACCTACTATTTATAATGAACATGTTAAGGTTTATGAAACATCCCTCACCTTGTTGCATCTTTACCCCGTGAGCTCCGTGGGGGCAGGGCCTGCAGCACACATATAAGTAGGTGCTTAATAAATATTTGTTGACTTCACTTGACTCTGTCAGGTAGGTAGGAGAAGCATAAATGTGTCCATTTTACAGATGAGAAAACAGAGACTGAAAAAGATACAGTGACTTGCTCAATGGTTATACAACTATTAAGTGCCAGAAAAAAATTTAGACTCAACACTTTCTGGCTCCAAGTTCAGCCCTCTTTTGGCTTTACTAATGTTACATCAGCTATGCATAAGAGTATAACTAAGGGTAAGAGTTAAGGATATACTCCATGAAAAGGCTGACCTTTGAGATAATTTAGGAATTACAGTTATTACTCTAAAATTCTAAATAGATGTCAGGTCTTATTATTTCATATCATTCCTTCATTCTTTTAAATAAAAATGTATTTCTTTGAAAATTCACTGAGAAAATTTAGAAGATGAATTCTGCTCCCAGATAAGTTGATAATAAAATGTGACCTTGTCTTTCAGTTTAGATACCTGTAAATACAGTCAATAACCTTGAGTGCTTACTACAAGCCAAGTACAATATTAAGCACTGCGGATACAAAGAAAGGTTAAAAACAGCCTACTTGCGCTCAAGAAACTCCAGTTCTAATGGGAAGGACAACATGTCCTGGGTGGGTACAAAATATACAGAGAATAGACATGCCCATGTCCCCTCCCTCCTGAAAAACTCCTCACATGATTCATCCAGACCCACTATCATTCTATATCTCTTCTTCCCTTTGTGGCTAAACTCTCTGACAGGCCATCTACAATAAGTGCTTCCACTCTCCTCTCAGCTTACTCTCTTCTTAACCCCTTACAATCTGACTTCCGACCTTATCATTCCGCTGAAACTGCTGTCTCCAAAGTTTTTAATGATCTCTTAGTTGCCAAATCCAATGGCCTTTTTCCAATCCTCATTCTCCTTGACCTCTCTGAAACTTTTAATGCTCTTCCTTGATTCTCTCTTTTTTGTAGGTTTCCAGGATGTCACTGTCTCCTGGTTCTACTTATTAGACTGCTTCTTCTCAGTCTTCTTCACTAAATCCTCATCTAGGTCACTCCCTCTAAGCATAGTGTCCCACAGGGTTCTATCCTGGGCCGCCTTCTTTTTTCCCTCTATATTCCTTCATTTGATGATCTCATCAGCTCATACAGATTTAGTTATCATCTCTATGCTAAAGATTCTGAAGTCTATCTATCCTGCCACACCATTTCTTCTGACCTTTAATCTCACATCTCCACCATCCTTTCAGACATCTCCAACTAGATGTCCAGTAGACATTTTAAACTAAACTTGTCCAAAATAAAACTCATCTCTCCTTGAAACTTTTCCCTCTCCTACCTTCCATGTTACGATATAGGGCAACAGCATTCTCCCAGTCCCTCAGACTCATAACCTAGCAGTCATCCTCAACTCCTCACTATCTCTGACCCCTCTCTCCCCCACATCCAATCTGTCGCCAAAGCTTACTGATTTCCCTTTGCAACATCTCTGGAATACCCTTCCTTCTCTCTTACGGCATTGCCTCTTCTCTAATACAGGCCCTCATCGGTGGCCTGCTGCTTGGTCTGCCTGTCTCAGGGCTTTTCCCCCTCTAGTACATCCTCCATTCGGCCATTAGAGTGAGTTTCCTGAAGTGCAAATTGAGCTGTGCAATCCTCCCTCCACCTCCCACCCAAATAAACTCTAGGAGTTCACTATCATCTCCAGGTTCAAATTAAAAATTCTCAGCTTGGTATTAAAAACCCCTTTATAACTTAGCCCCCTCCTACCTTTTTAGTCTTCTTACACCTTAATATCCCTGCCTTGTACTCTTCAATCTGGTGACACTGCCTCATTGCTGTTCCATGAACAAAACACTGTTATCTTGTCTCTGGCTGTCCGTCATGCCTAGAATATTCTCCCTCCCTTGTTCTGACTATTCACCTCATTGGCTTCCTTTAAGTCTCAACTAAAATCCCACCTTCCATAGGAAACCTTTCCCCATTCTTCTAAATTCTAGTGCCTTCCCTCTGTTAATTATTTCTTCTTTATTCTGTATATATCTGTGTGTTGTCCTCCCTGTTGTCTGTCTTTTGGCTCTTTTTGTATCCTCAGCACTTAGCACAGTGCCTGGCACACAGTAGGATCTTAATAAATGTTTATTGCTTGATTAGATGCAAAATCCTCTTAAAGGTGGGATTCGAATGGAGTTTTAAAGCCAGGAAAGTAAAGAAAGAGAAAGGAAGAGCATGGAAGACAGCAAGTACAGAGGATTTTATATTTGATTTTAGAGATAATAGGGAACTGCTGGGGCTTATTGAATTGGGGTAAGGACAGACCTGTTCCTTAGGAAAATCACTTTTTCAACTGAGTGGAAGATGGATTGGAGTGAGAAGAACCTTGAAGCAAAGAGACCTTTTAACAGGCTATTATAGTAATCCAGGATAGAAGTGATGAAGGCATCTACTAGGGTGTATACATACATACACAGACACACACACACACACACGCACACACACCCCTTTATAAAAAGAGGTGATACAGGTAGAAATTACAAGATTTGACAACAAATTAAAATATGTAGGACAAGTGAAAGTAAAGAATTGAGGGTGATAATCAGATTTACTGACTAGCACAGTAGTAGTTAAGATGAGCAGAAGGGAAGGTTTTTAAACAATCCAGTGAAATGAAAAAGAGTAACATTGGAAGAAAAAAACAAAACACACAATCTGTTGCCTTGAAGAAAAGAAAATGGAGCCAGACTGAAAAGAAGTCTAGAAAAAAATTAATAAGCATCAAGTGAATTAAAAAAACCACAACACACCAGGAATTGTAATCATACTGCCAGACAAAGCTGTAACAAACACTCCAAAAATTACATGTGATAAACAAGAAAATTATATTATGCTGAAAAGATCCATAGACAACAAACCAATATCAGCATTAAAATTATATGATCCAAATGCTTTAACATTTAAATTCATAAAGGATACATTAAGTGAACTATAAGATGACATTACAGTAACACCATGGTGACAGGAGATTTCATTGTTCCTTTTCTCAGTTTTGGACAAGTTTAACAGATAAATCAGAAAATATTGAATGAACAAATTTTGGGGGAAATAGAGCTAAAAGAATAATGGCATCTTTAAAATGAAACTGAATAGAACATACAAATTTCTCAGCACTGCATGGAACTTTTACAAAATTTGACTTGGTAATAAGGAATAGGGATTTTGCAAACAAATATAAAAGGCAGAAATAGTACATCCTTTATAGATGATAATACAATAAAAATAGTCATCATTTTGGAGAGCACAAACAAGAAACATAGATCCAAATGGAGACTTAAGAATGAAATCTTAACTATTAAATGGGTCAGTTGGTCATAAAGCAGTTATTAAGTGTTGACTACTACCAGACCCTGCTAAATATTGGGGATACAAAGAGAGGCAAAAGACAATCCTTTCCCTTAAGGACTTTACAATCTAATAGGTCAAAGAAAAAGTCATAGAAATATAGAAATTAATAATTTTGTAAAAGAAAATTGTAATGATGAAACAATATGCCAAAATTTCTAGGATGAGAAAAAGTAGTTCCTAGGGGAAAAATAATATCCCTACAAATATATATATGTTAGTAAAATAGGAAAAAAAAGAGGATTAATGACCTGAATATGCATTTTAAAAATTAGTAAGCCAATAAATAAACCTAAGTAAGCATAAAATAGAGGATATTAAAAATTAGAGAAATACATTAATCTAGAAACCTGAAAACCTACAAAAATGATAAGTAAAATGTAAAAGCTGTATCTTTGAGAGAAAACAAACTAGTGAAATTGATAAACCTTGAACCAATCTAATTAAAAAGAAGGCAGACAATCAGAACAACAAAATAGCAAATGAGCAAGATGAAGTCACAACAAAACCATAATAAAATAATCAGAAGATGCTAATAAAGCTGAGAACACAAAAGGAATTGAGAAATACATTCAAAAATATGAAATACCCCAAATAACTAATGACCAATGAGAAATCTTTAAAGCACTTCATCTTAGAAAAGGAAATAAAACTAATTCTAAAAGAACTATCAAAGGAAGAGCTCTTGGTCCTGATGGATGTGAGAGAGAATTCTATTAAACTTAAAAGAACTCATACTACAAAAATTATTTCCCCAAATCAAGAAAGTAAGTTCCCTACTATATCCTTTCTATGTGACAAATATAGTCTTAATTACTGAAGCAAGGAGGGATAAAACACAAAAGGAAACAAATATCTTTAATGAATATCAATTCAAATTACTATACTGATTTAGCCAAAAACTCATCCATTATGACCAAATTGTATTTGTATCGGGTGTGCAATGATTGTTTAACATTCAGAAAAGTCAACATAATTAATCATATTAAAAGCCCAAACTTCCAGTTATCCACAATCTTAATTATCTTAATAGATGTGAAAAAAATCATTTGACAAAGTTTAATACACATTTATGCTAAAACCTCCACAAAGCGTAGGCATAGAGGGACCTCTTTATATTATAAAATCTATGTAGAAACTGTAATATGTGACAGTGCATTGTATAAGAAAAAGGAATGACTGTAAAGAAATGATGATGACAGATTACAAGACTGGATGACTAGGAAGATAGGTGTATCCTCTGTGGTAATAGGAAATCTGGGAAGGGGATGGGTTGGAGGGATTCTGATTTGGATATATTTAGCTTGAAATGCCAAAGGGAAATCCAGTTTGAGGTGTACCTCACCCCCAAAAAAATCACTAGTATCATACACAATGAAGATACACCAGAATATTTTCCAGTAAATATGGATATAAAAGAAGGTCTACTTCTGCTACTATTATTTAATATAGTTCTGGAAGTGTTGGCTGTGACAATAAGATAAGAGAAAATGTTGAAGTTATAAAAAAAGGAGAAAAGGAGATAAAAGTATCCCTTTTGTTGATGATATGATAGTTTACTTGGAAAATCCTAGGGAATCAGCCAAGATACTAATCAAGACAATTAGCTTGAACAATGTTACAGGCTATAAAATAAACCATCAAAATTTAACTGTATTTCTCTATAATAATAATAAAATCCAAGAAGCCACGATAGAAAGGGGAATGCCATTCCACATAACTGCAAAATGCATACAGCATCTGGGAGTCAGTTGACTGAAGCATACAAAAGACTTGTAGAGATTCATTTACAAAGTTCTCTTTAATGAAATAAAGGACAACTTAAAAGCTGTATAGAATGAACCCCTGGAGGAAGTGTTGCTGGATGATCATGGTAGGAACAAAGTATGTAAGTTACACTGGGGAAAAAGGACTGTTCAAAGGCTAGAAAGTGAGTCATAGAGTATAAGTGTGAAGTACAGCCAGTACTAGAATGAATGGCCAGGGATGTACTTTTTAGGAGAGAGCCAGACCTTAGTGATTGCTACATGATGGATGGAAGTACAGAAATGAAAAGACTGTGGATGAAAGGAAGTTTTCCATTATGGTGGCATACATTGCAGCAGTCCCAGTGGAAGGGGTGGGGAAATCTGGAGTGGAACATCGTATGGGTAGAGTTGAAGTGAATGGGATTAAGGGAGTAAAAAAGATAGAAAGAAATAGGAGTCCCAGTCATTCAGCAGTTATTTTTTCCACATTAGTTTTGTTCAGAAACATTTTTCCCTAAGTGCTACAGTAGATATTAAGATAATATATGTGCATTTCCTACCCTTAAGTATCTCACAATCTTATGTCCATAAGACAAACATATAATGCAATATAATACAACCCCATTAAAAAAATATGACCAAGTTCAACACATGCTAATAATAACTCACATTTACATAGCCCTTTAACATTTACAAACCTTCCCAACAATCTTGTAAGGTATATATTCCAATGATTGTTTGCATCCAACTTTAGAGGTCTTTCTGCTCTACAGAGTTTGAGGTGATTGAGAGGAGATACTGTATGACTTGGAAGGATCAGGGACATCTTCATGGAGAAGGTAGCTTTCAAAGAAAGATTGAAAGAATGGGTAAAATTTACAGAGATGATGATGATAGGGTATTCCATTTGGTGGCGATATTATGAACTGTAATGCAGGGGCAAGGAATTTTGTCTAGGAAATATGACTCGTTTTCCTGAAACAGAAGAGTAGTTATAGAACAGATGAGAATTATGACTGAAAAGACAATGAGTACCCAGGAAGTGGGGAGTGCTTTGATTGCTACTCTGAGAAGCCTGTTATGCCCTGATATGTCTTCCAAACCATAGTCTCAAAACATCAACTGATTTTTGGACACCTCAGAATGGATTTCCCTTTGGCATCTCAAACTCAATATATCCAAATCAGAATTTAACATCTTTCCCTGCAACCTATCCCTTCTTCCCATGATACAGTGGATAGAGTGCCAGGCCTGGAGTTGGGAAGACCTCGGTTCAAACGTGACCTCAGATACTTACTAGCTGTGTTACCATGAACAAGTCACTTAAACTTGTTTGCCTTAGTTCCAGTATCTTTGCCAAGAAAACCCCAAATGGGGTCACAGAGTCCGATGTGACTAAATAATAAAGAGGATGCAGCTACCTTCCTAGTCATCCAGTACTGTATGTAATCTGTCATTGTCATTTCTTTATTGTCACTCATCTTTCCCATATGGTAAAGTGACACACATGTTGTCATTTCTACTTTCATATAATCTCTCATATTTGCCCCTTTCTTTCTACTCATAGTCACCACCATAGTTTAGACCCTGGTCACCTCTCTCTTGGACTATTTCAGTAGCTTCCTAATTAATTTACTTGCCTCAGGTTTCTCCTAACTCTAATCCATCCTTTGCTCAGGTGCCAAGAACAGACTATTCATGTGACTAATCCCCAGCCCCCTGACCTTTCCCCTCCATCTTATTAAACTCCAGTGGCTTCCTATTACATCTAGAATCAAATGTAAAGTCTTTTACATTTAAAGGTCTTCATAACCTAGATCATCCTGGCCTTTCCAGTCTTCTAATACTTCATTCTCTTCCACATGCCATACAATCCACTGACACTTGACTTCATGCTCTTCCTTTCTTTTGCCTGTCTTTGTATCTCCTGTATTTGGTACGGTACCTAGCACATTGGAAGTGCTTAATAAATACTTGTTGTCTGATCCATGCACTGATATTGTTCAACAGGCAATAGGACATTAAAAAAAAGTTGAACAAAGTAACGACATCATTAGAGAAAGGTTTTAGGAAGTGTAATATAGCAGCATTTTGCAGAATGGCCTAGAAAGGGGAGTGATAGAAGTGGACAATAATTAGACCACTCTTGGAGAACTTCAGAAAAGGGGTAGCAAGGTTCAAAACTAAGTTAATAGCTGGCAAGCTAAGGAAAAAAAGCAAAAAATTTTCCATTGTCTAGCTGAGTGAACAAGGTGATTGATAGCAGATTTGACTATGCTGTGGAAAGCCATCACTGGAGCAGGAAGAATGTTTCTGGGACCCAACTGTGAACAGCAGGAAGTGAGGCTTCAAATCTGACTCCAAGTTCACTTGTCTTTCCACATATTTTCATCTAATCAAGAATACAAAGTACTGCATTCTTTCTCTGTCAACCTTTCTTTTTTTGGCTGGATGAAAATGATATAATAATTATTGATAAAGAAGGTCACGTGGAATAGTGGCTAGACAGCTGGTCTTGGAATCAGGATGATCTCGGTTCAAGTGCCACCTCTGATACATATAAGCTTTGTGACCCACCCCGCCTTCCAGCAAGTACAGAACCATTCAGTATCCCAGCTGGAGTGTAAGTTGTGGGAATGTGCCTATCTGTACTGTTTTTCCTCACCCATACCCATGAAGTAATAATAATGATAATAATAATAATAATAATAATAGCTGAATTTATAAGATACTTTAAGGCTTCCAAAGCACTTTATATAATTATGGTAGTACTAAAATGTATATTGTACTTCTACATTTTGCAAAGTTCTTCCCATTATTTCATTTGATTCTCATGATAACCTTGGAAGGTAGGTGCTGTTTTTACCCACATTTTACATATGAGAAAACTGTGGCTCATGCATCTAACTAATTAATGTCTGAGATAGAATTTGAACTCAGATTCTCCTGAATCCAAAGTTAGCTTTTTGTCTTCTTTGGTCATCTTTGAAGCTTTTGTGCATATTCCTGAATATATACTTGTTTTTTTTTAAATACAATATTTCATGACTATTTTGAATAACTGCTTAAAATACTGTCAACGTGGGTCATATTTTTATTTTTTGTTTTCCCAATACCAGATGCATGTTACTTATTGGAAACATAGGGAGTCATGTGCGGTATTTAACTTTTTCTTGAAAAGAGTCAACTATTCAAACATATTCTTGGTACTTGCCACCTAACAGTTTTTCAAAAACAGTTTTTGTTTTTTGTTTTTGCCATTTCAGGTGATTTCAACAACATCCGCTTCTCTGCCTACCGTACGGGCTTTAAAATCCGAAGATTACAGAAAGCCTTATGCTGTAAGTCATTCTTCAAAAGTTCATCACTCTTGCTCATTGGCTTTTTTTTTTAATACTGGGCTAAATATCTAAAGAAGTGAATCCATAGGCTTAGTCTGATATTTACACCCCCCTGCATGTCCAGGTTTACTTATGTCTCTGCAGTTTGTATCATTGGCCTCATTGATTATGATGGGAATTGCTTATGAAACATGTCAGCATATGAAGTAGCTATACTTCTCATTCTCATTTGTTGAACAAGCAAGCCATAACACAGAGAAGCAATATAAAAACTTTCTTTGGATATTATGCTTCAGTAAAAGGATTCCATTAAAGAATAGGAGCATGGTGGGCCATTGCTTTTTTGGTACTTAGTAATCATTACAAAGTCTGAGGAACGGTGTAAAATTAGGACCATTTTACATTTTTGAACTAAATTGAGATACCCTTTTCATTGAACCACAGGCACTGAATAAAATCAGATAATAGAAACTTTAACAACCACTTCCATTGCCTGTAATAGAACTGATGGCTTAGAAAAGAGTGTTACATTGGAGTGAAGAGGGAGATGATGTTTGGAGTTGGGTTGTCTGGAAAGGACTCAGGGGGTAGAGGTTCTCCTCATCAAGAGGGCTTTATGGATGCAAAAGCAATGGGCTAGTCCTCAGGAGCACTAGCAGGTTGAGATAAGACAGGGGCTTTTATATCCAAGTTTTGGCACTTAGCTAGGGGTGGGGGTAGTTAACCACAGAGAAGGATGTCGGGAAAGGAGAAGCAGGTGTGTTGGGTACCTTACAAAACAGTTCAGAGATGTGGTCACAAAACAGGGAACTTGCAACATTCAAGGATATGGCCACAAACCATAGGGGTAAGTTAAAAAAACACAGAAAGTAACAAAGGTTTTCTTGTCAATAGGTAGAGCCCCCTGTTAATGGGCAGATTTAGATTTAGGCAAGGCTCTCATTGTTGCTAGGCAGAAGTCATCCACATAAGAAGTACTTCTTGAGACTTCTAAAAAAATTACTCTTACTAATACTTGGCCAGCACAGGATTTATTGTGGTAGTTATGTTATCCAAAACACAGATTCTCCTTCTGAAACACTTGTATTCCCTGGTGTTTAGCACAGTAACTAGCATATTGTAAGCACTCAATAAATGCTTGTTGATTATTCATTCGGTGTCTGACTAAATGTAAAGTGTATCATATTTACTCTATATTTCCAATTTTTGTCATCCTGTTTACAGAAAGATTTTGTAGGATCGGTCAGATAGGTTAATAGGAAACAATGTTTGGTTGTATGCTCAAGAGCAGTGCTTGAAGAACTCCCAGAGTGCTCCTGCTTGCTTCTTTCTACACATTATGGTTGCTGTAGATAAAAGCAATGTAAGGTAGTTTCTAAAAGTGGCCTTGGAAATAATATGATGAGCAGGAAAAAAATGATTCTTAGAATCTAAGAGAAATTAAAAACAGTAAGAAAGGAAGAATATTGCTAAAGAACTTGAGAGAAAAGCATAGAAGAGTTTGAAGGAAGCAATGTGAGAAAGCTTTGGGAAAATGTAAAAACTTAATTCTTATGTAGAAAGAAATGTTTTTAAAAATACAGACTAACAGAAAAATAAAGAATGAGATGATTATCCCTTCTACCACGTTTTCAATGACAAATAAAAGATAATTTTCAGGTTATGATAGTTGAGGAATTTGGATTATTCCTCTAGGCCCTGCTCGTATGGGCTGTGACTGAGCAAGGCCCATTGTGCTGATTGAATCACCTTCTCCACTCACTACCCTCCAGTTAGAAAAACGGACCAGCCGAGAAGTTACTGTGTAGGCAAAGGTCAGGAACTTAGTGTATGAAAACAAAATCAAGAATTGGGCAGACTTATGAAAAAGCTGGCTCTCCAGTGGCAGGAAGTGCTGTCTGAAGCACGTGCATTGTTAAAACTGGTAACCATAAGATCTCTGAAGAGGTCTAGCAATATTCTAGCTCTGGCTATTCTTACGAATTTGATGCAGGATGAGAGAAGTAGGGGTTCAAGCTAGATGAAAAAATGATTTCAGCTGGTCTCACTCTGATTTCGTGTGTTCGTGAGCCATATTCCCTCTAATTCCCTTCATTTGGACAGCTGCCATCAACATACCTCTTATATTAACTTTCTTGGAAGCTCCATGCCAGTGGGCAACAAAAACATCACAAACTCAAGAATTACTAGCATTTAAAAAGAAACCCTCATGCTTTTGTTAATGCTTAGGAATGTTGAGCAACAAGAGAAAAGGAAATGGATTGCTATGTTATATACAGAAGGAATCTTCAGGCTTTGTTCTTTGGGTTAGTATTGACAGCCACTTTTTTTCAAAAGGCTCAGCTGCCTGTCCAGCACACAGCTGGCAAGTTCGTAACAGTCTCCTAAGATTTTATGAGCTATAAAATGAGAACAAATGACTCAGCCACCAAGTCTGTTTTGGCAGCAACTGCTTCACATGGTCTAAATTCACAGTCCAAGTTTCCAGTGAGGCCTCAAAATGGATGGATATAAATATTAAAAGTCTATCTTTTTCTGTACTCTAATAACCATTCCTGACAGAGCTCATTCCTTCAAGTCACCTCTTTTAAAAATAAGATTTTTTTTAAATGCCTCTTGTCAGGGAAGTGAAGTGAATGCAATTTTACCAGCATATTTATTTTATTTTATTTTTTGCTTTTTTGGTGAGGCAGTCAGGTTTAAGTAACTTGCCCAGGGTCACATAGATAGTAAGTGTCAAGTGTCTGAGGCCGGATTTGAACTCAGGTCCTCCTGACTCCAAGGCCGGAGCTCTAGCCACTGCGCCACCTAGCTGCCCCCAACACATTTATTTTAGAAAAAAATATTGGGATGTGTTTGGCCTGTCTTTGAGAGCACACAAAGCTTTAAGTTTGTCATCCAGTTGCCCTCTTTTTCCCTTTCCCAATTATCCCCTTTATCTCTCTACATTCCAGCTTTGCCTTGGTCAAATAAACATTTATCCAGGTGAACTTCCAAGCTTTTGTGTTCATGTGGAATGTCATCTCCCTTTTTCTCCAAGAGCCCATATTCCATCCTTAAATTAAATCCTTATCCTTTTTTTTCTTAATCATCTTTATCATCTGTGTAGTATTTGATGCTATTAACTATCTGTCCTTCTGAGTTTACTTTCCATCCTCACTATTCACATCATAATAACCCTTTTCTGGTTTCCCTCCTACCTCTCTGATTGTTCCATCTCTGTCTTCTTTGTTGATTCTTTGTGTTCTTTCTGATCTCCCAAGAGTGGGTATTTCCCAAGGTTCTCTGTTCCTTTTCTCTCTCAACCTTCTATACTTTGGAAATCTATTGAATCTTGGATTCAACTATCACATCTATGCAAATGACTCTCAGAACTATATTTCACATTCTGACCTCTTTTCTGAGCTCTATATCCTCCCTTCCAACTGACTTCTTTTGAATATAGCACCTTATTTCCACTCATACAGCTAAGACTCTTAGGAAAGACACTTATATACTCTTTCCTGGGCTACTGCCATAGTCTCTCCTAACTAGTCTTTCTACTTCAAGTCTTATCTCATGCCAATCCAATCCTCCACACAGCTTACCAGTTGCTATTCTTATTTTTTTTATTGTTTTATTTTTAGCCAATTAAGGTTAAGTGACTTGCCCAGGGTCACACGATTAGTAAGTGCCAACTGTTTGGTCTGCAGCCGGATTTGAACTCAGGTCCTCCTGACTTCAGGGCCAGTGCTCTATCCACTGTGCCACCTAGCTGCCCCACTGATTGCTATTCTTAAAACAGAGGTCTGATCATAGTATTCTCCTATGCAGAATTATTCAGTGGCTTTCAGCCTGACATAATAGATATGCTAGATATAGACGTAACAACAAACCCTCTGTAGTCTTGATCCCCCTTCCTTTCTTGACTTCATTATTATTGAGCTGCTTCCACTGTAGACAAGCTGACCTACTGCTAGTTGTCCCCATGTACAAAATTCCTCCTTCTGCCTTACAGAAGAGGGTATCCTTCTGTCTGGAATGCACTTGCTTGTCATTTTTATCTCCCAGAATCTCCAGCTTCATTTAAAGCACTCAGATACCATCTCTTGAGGAGACATGGTAGAGTGAAGAGGGCACTGAATTTGGAGCCTGCAAGACTTGGAATCAAATCTTACCTCATACATTTACTTGTCTGTGACCCTGGTCAGGTCATTCATCCTTTCTGGGTCTCACTTTCCTCATCAATAAGACCAGACTCAACGGCCTCTTAGGACACTTCTATCTCTGAATCTTTAATTATATGATCCTACTTTTGGCCTGTCCAGGGTCCCCTGGAGCATTCTGCCCTTCCTGAAATTACTTTGTATATATTTATCTGTGTATATCTTGTATCTCCCAAGTAGAATATGATTTCTTTTAGAGAAGAGACTTTTGTTTTTGTCTTTATATCTCCAACTCCTAGCACAGACATTTAATAAATATTCATTTATTTGATGGGTGGATGGATGATCCACTGGCATCTCAAACTCAACATTTTATAAATGAAGTTGTTATTCTTCCATTACCCTGTTTCCTTCTGACTTCAATATTTCTCAGTTACATAATCATTTATTTCAATTGTTTAATATTTTGGTAATAACTTTGACTTTTCTCTTGTCCTCATCTCATATCCAGTCATTTACAGAACCCTAAAATTCTATCTCCCAGATCTTACCCCACCTCTGTCATATTGCCACCATTCTAACACTAACCCTCATTTTCACAATCCTGGATTGCCGTGATAGCTTTTCTTCTCTATCACCCAGTTCATCTTTCATACAACTGCAAGATTAATCTTTTTGCATAGGTCTTTTTATGTAACTTTTTCACTCAGAAGTCTTCAGTACCAGGCTATTGACCATTCAAACTCCTTTGTCTGGCATTCAATCCCCCTCCACAATCTGGCAGCACTTTCCCTCTCTGTAAGTTTACTGATCCATTCAAACTGGCCCCTGTCTTTTGAGGATGCCTTGGGCTTACCTCCTTGTGTACTTTCACTCATTCTGTTCTCTGTGCATCAGATGTCTTTCTTTTCCCCCTTTGTCTGTTGAATTTCTATACATTCTTTAAAGTCTGACTGAAAATCATAAACCCTTCCACAAAACCTTCTTTGATTCTTCCTAATCAGTAACAGCTGTTTCCCCACTCCTGTAACAAAAACTACTTTGTTTTACACCTCTTTGGTGCAGTTATGGATTATTTGTAGCATTTGAGTTGTGGTAGAATTATCTGTGCATGTCATATCCCCTACAAAGCTTATTTAATCACAAGTTCCTTAAGAGTAGAGACAGTGTTTCTTACCTAAACTTTTTGTATCCTACAACCTGGCTTAATACTTTATATACAATAGTTACTTAATAAATGCTTAGCAAATTGTATTGATAAAACAGTTAGAAACTTGTTTTCTCATAGAAGCTTCCCCAAGTCAAGCTCACTTTGCTCCAGTTATTGCACAAATCCCTTTGCTAATGACACTTATTTATAACTCCTAATTTTGTGCAGACTTTATATATAAATCAGATTTGTTAATATAATTTTATTGGAGGTTAATTAGGTATTCATTATAAGTTACCTTGGGGCCAGGATTATCTCTTGTTTAATGTATAAATCTCCAAAACACCTAGAATGGTGCCCCAGGATACACTTAAAGTGCTGATGATGTGGAATCTTGAGTTGACCAAATGCTTTCTAAATATGCTTCCAGAATTTCTTCATTAAAGTTTGAAGATGTAGTGGCTTCTTATATTTGGTTGCTTAACTACAGACTGACTATACTATTTTTAAACACTTCAGTTCAGTTCAGCCTGCTTTATTTCTGCAACTACTATATGCCAGACATTGTGCTTCATGTTGGGGATACAGTGAGAAAAATAAGAGAGTGTCTAATAATACCTTGTACTTATATAGCCTTATAAGGTTTGCAAAGTGCTAGGCATTTATTATCTCACTGGATAATGTGCTCAAGGAGCCTCTGTACTATTGAAAGATAAAATATGTACACAAATAAGTACAAGATACTTCAACAATTGAATTTAAGGTAAATTCACTGCAAGGATATACTACAGCTGGAAAAGTCTCTTACACAAGATAGCACTTGAACCAAGTCTTAAACTGATCTATGGGTTTCTGAAGGCAGAGGTGAGAAGCGAGAGTGTTTCAGGCAGAGGGGACAGCCTGAGAAAAGGCACACAGGTGGAATATATTGCATGTCAAATATAGGGTGGGATAATAGGTAGCTTAGCTTGGCTGAAACATAGGGGCTAATGTGCAATCAGTAGCGAGAGTCTGGAGAGAGATGATTAAGGGCAGTAAAGGCCAAACAGAGGAAGTTGTATTATTTTCTCTTGGCAATAGGACCATAAATCTAGAGTTAGAAAGCACCTCAGACACCAACTGTTACAACTCCCTCATTTTATACATGAGGAAACTGAGGCAAACAGAGGTCAAATGATTTGCTCAGGATCATTTAGGTGGTAAGTTAAGCCAGGATTTTGACCCTGGCCTTGACACTCTCTCCATATTATTAACATTTTGTTTGAGTAGGGATAATGGTGCAGTCAGACTTGCACAAAATCCCTTTGGCAGCCAAAGGTGGAGGAAGGGTATTCCAGTGTTCATGAAAATCTGAATAGGTTGGTAGCCATCTAAGTAGGCAGATCTGAGAGATAATATGGAGGTAGAATTGACCAGACTTTGCAAGAAATGAAGAGTTGATTATAACTATGTGTTCAATGGTTAGAGACAAACTTTCTTTTGATTCTTTTGATTAAATGTCTACTATGTACGAAGCATTATATCCCACCAACTATATACAAGTACAAAAGTGATAGTTCCCTGCTCTTACATTTTAATAGGAGACAATATATGTAGGACAGTAGTGCCCAGGGAATTAAGTTTTGGTCTGATAAACTGAGCAGTCGTTAATGGCTCCTGGCTCACATGTGCTTTCCAGAAGCAATGGTAGTAATGATTTAATTGTGTCCATAGCAGGAAATGCAGTTGGGGGGAAGGGGTGGTCTAGCATAATGTCAAGGAAGAAAAATGGCAGTGAAACATGCTTGGGTGCCTAGAACTGACCAAATATGGTGAATCCCTACCACTCAGCATAGCACAGTGCCAAATCTAAGTGGCCTTAGATTTCTTCATCTTAGATAAGAGAAATAGATTTTTCATGAAAATAAAAGGTTGATGATAAATTCAACCAGCAGGATAGTGCTCCTTATGAGTCTTCCCAAACTTTTGCTATGGGGACTTCTCCTTCTGCTTTCTCTTCCCTTAGACAGAAACTGCACTGGTTTGCTACCACCTTGTATCTTCTGAAATTCCAGTGATTAGTGATACAAGCTTATAGAAGCTAATGTCCTAGACCTTTGAAGCTTACCAGTTTAATACTCCACTACGCATATGCAGATTGAAAAAAATATATATCAATTTTAAGGAAGTTGGTGAGAGAAACTGATTCTTCTGTTTGTCATTTTTGTCTCTGAAAAAGAAATCATGTTTTTCAATGTTTCAAATGTGGTCAGTTTCTAAAGGTCTCTAAATGTGATTTACTTCAGAAAAACTTATACCTGCTTAGGCACTAAGGCAAAGAAAGTGTCAAAGTGAATCACTGGAAATTGAAATCATCCTGGACTCTTAGATGTGGCAAATTTACTGAAGCTGAGAAGTCCTTTTCTGGAAGAAATGCAAACATGACCTGATCCAGGAAACTTAGAACTTGCTGGCACTGGATAAAGCTTTGGGCCATATAGTCAGAATGTACTTTACTCTTAAAAGTAACTCTATGTCATTGGATTAATTAACTTAATGAACTTAAGAATTCAAATGACTTCTAGCATTTTGTCTGTTTTTATATGGATGGTCTTTAATAATTATGGGGACATGTCATGGATATCATTTCTTTAAATAGAGCACCTTGAATAGCACAGTGGATAGAGTGCCAGCCTTGGAGTCAGGAAGACTTGGTTTCAAATCCAAGACTTATTAGCTATGTGAGTCTGGGCAAGTCACTTAGCCCTGTTTGCCTCAGTTTCCTTATCTGTAAAATGAACTCTGGAAGAAGATGGCAAACCCCTCCAGTATCTTTGCCAAGGAAACCCCACATGGGGTCACAAAAAGTCAGACACAACTGACCAAAAAAAAGATTTCTTTAACTGTTTATCTGCATGTACTGCTGTACAGAGGCAAAGTCCCTGCCTTTTAGAAGCTTCAATTAAAGACAGGTTATGCTAATAGGAATAGAAATTAAGGATAATGCAGACTCCTGCATTCCTCTGATTAAACACATTTCAATTTTCTCAGACATCATTGCTAACACATTGGATCATTAGAATCTATCAGCCTCAGTTTCCCCACAGATAAATTGTACATCTCTGGGAAGTACTATATGGAGTCATTAATTGGCTACAGAGTGCTCAGTGGTTATCTTATTAAACTTTCTTTTTTAAAAAAAGTTGTATCTTCTGAATGTTTTATGATCAATTAAAGGTGCTCTCATTCTTATGTGAGCAGTATAAATATTTTTGTACTACCAGTGTGAAAAGTGAGATTCAAAGCAATCAAATTCCATACCCCCTACTCTTTAGTGGAAGAGCCAGGACTCAGTCTTTGTGAAGTTCAGTAGTCTTTCAACAATACCATACTTTCTGCTCCTGAAGTAAAGGAAATCACTAAAACAAGTCTTAGCAAAAAAAAAAAAAAAAAAAAAAAAAAAGGAGTGTGCTAGGCAAGCATAAAACACAAATTTGGGAGGGTTAGTACTTTGTTTTAATCAATGTTCCTTGCATCTAATTTGAGTCAATTTCTGTCTCTCCTTTTCCTTCTGATTAGTGGATCTGTTAGAATTGGAGACAACAAATGACATTTTACACCACCATAAACTAAGACAGAATGATAAATTCCTCTACGTCCCTGATGTCATCAAGTATCTGACGAAGACTTATGATGTGCTGGAACAGTCACATAAGGACCTGGTCAATGTTCCACTCTGTGTAGATATGTGCCTAAATTGGTTGCTCAACGTCTATGATGCGTAAGTTGACATGTCTTTGCAATCTGTTCAAATGAGCTATGTTGATAAAAGAAAGTTAAAAATATTTGATTTTTTAAAAAAAATGTGTTTAGAATTAAATCTTTTTTGAATGTCTGAACTATTTTCCTCACTAGGATTATTGAAATTCCACTTGAATTGCATTTAAAAATTAGCATTTGGAAGAGTAAATTTGTCTTTGTCATTTATTTTAGGTGTTGTAATGGTGACATGTATCTGAGTAATGGCTTTGATAATGAATCCAGCCATTAGAAGCATTCATATCTTTACCAGGGATTTAATGTAGCTGCTACTGGTTACCATTAAAATCTTCTTTCTAGGTCACAGTAACACTCATCTATAGATATTTTTATTCATTTTTAAAATTAAGACAATGCATTAGTTAAACAATCAATACCAAAAAATCTTGCTCTGGGCTGACATTTTTGACACATTAGGAATTATTCATTTTTCTGGTAGGGGGGTTAAAGTATGAAATTAAAATTAAATTAAAGATGAAATTGGATTCTTTTGGCTGTTACTTTTCCTCTCAAGCCCCCCAAAATTCCTTCTGTTGATTAGCTGTATGCTTATCAATCTTTTTTCCCCCTTAATTCTCTGAGACAGCTAGATAATTGAGAAATACTCGAGTTTAGAAAATAAAATTTAGATACAATAGTATGTCAAGAAAGTAAGAGTGGTGATGCCCCTTGTTCTGCCTGCAATTGAACTGAAAACTGTCATTTTAAAGAAAAGGTCTAGTTTCTAGAGAAACATATCTGAGTTGAATTCATAATAATCCGGTAAATAAACAGTAGGTGTTATCTTAAAATGCTTTTGGTCACTGATGTGCTTATAGAAAGTTGCATTATCAGTTACCATTATGAATAATAAATTTGCTCTTTTTCCACCAAATACCTTTGAATCATTTTAAAATTTAGTTTCAATTTCTCTTATATAATTTGGATTCTCTTGGTGTTGACAAAGGTACTTTTAGTGTCCTCTTGAAACTATTTTCCCTTTGCTTTGAAAGCTCAAATATTTTTTGAAACAAAAATCTATGCTTTTGAGTTTCAAATCTCAATAGATTAGGTACTTTGGCAGTCTCCATGAGTATCATGTTTATGTAGCTGGGAGAGAAAGAATCATTACTTTGGTATCTGTGGCTCTTAATACCTATAGGGAATGGAGAAGAGGCAGAGCACAAGAGTGTACGTGCTTTGTTCTCTGGAAATTACACTTTGTGCTTCTCTTCTTACAAGCGTATGCTTGGGGAAAGTCTTATTCAGATATTGTTTTATATCCACAAATGTTAATTTTTCAATAATCAGCCCATTAGCCAGGGCAGAAAGGATTTATATGACTGTCCTATTATCTTAAGAACCTGAGAAAAGTATAATGAACCTATCCAGTCTAATATTCTATCCCCCTGATCCTGTACCAAAGGAGTATTTTGAGATATCATAAGTTTACTTTTGACAGCAGCCTTCCATGACTTCTTAATACCCCTTCCTTTGAAAAAAAAAACCCCAATATATTATGAATCTATATAATATTTTATGAAACTTATCTAAGCATGTCTCCACCTCTGTGGGCCTCATTCTCTTCCTCTTTATAATGAGAGTATTAAGATTAAATGATCTCCGAGGTTTCTTCTGCTGGGATAGTAACGTTGGAAACCTTTCTAGAACTTATTTGTATTTTGATATGGTATCACCTTTCAACATAATTTGTTTCATACATTTAAAATATGGATCATATAATTTTAGACATTAAAAGAAACCAGTCTCTTCAGGTGGGGAAATCAAATCTCAAAATGAGTAAATAAATCATTTTGACTATTACAAATACCCAAATTAACGACAAAGAACATATGAAGGAAAATGCTATCTGCATCCAGAGAAAGAATTGATAAATTGAACTATGTATAGAATCTGTACATATAAATTTTAAAAAATGAGATGGCATATGCAAAGTGCTTTCCAAACCCTAAAGCACCACAGAAATGCTATTTCTCAAAAACCAAAGACACGTAAGTTAGAGGCAGAGTTGGATCTAGTCTCTAGTTTGTTAGCCCTCATCTCCATTCATTGCTATTTTACCCTGATATCATTCTACCTTTATTAACCTCTATATGAAGAAGTTCCTTTGATATATTTTCAAGCCTTGAAGGATGCCTCTGAATTCTATTATTCTGAATAATGTTGAACTAATCCATGAATAATATATCTAATGAATAGCCCATTTTCTCATTAAATTTCTATCATAAGCCTGTCTTCTCTAACTGAAAGTTGCTTTTTGTTTTTAAAATATATCCTTTGCAGAATAATCAACTGAAATTAGAACTGTTTAAATCATTATTTAAGTGCTAGTCTGAAAAATTCAACTTATTATTTTAACATGTAATCTTTACAACCTAAGGAAGATATAGTTTTAATTTTAGGAAATACATACTTCTCAAATTATTTAAAACTAATGGATAATTGTAAAAAAAGATATTTAAACTAATAAATACATGTAAAGTTATCTAGGTAGTCAACAGAAAGAATTTAAAATATTGCATTTTGATACTTCCTTAACCATGTTTTCTATATCTCTTAAAATCACTGTAATGCTTAGAATAATCTCAAGCACGCAGTAAACTTTTGACAAGTGTTTGTTGGTTAAATCAGTTAAGATTTCCATGTCTGTTGGGTAGTATTGGGGAGCTTTCTCCTTCTTTGGCAACATATTAAACCAAAATCTTTAGGAAATGCTCAACAATGATTTTTAGATTCTTTCTTGAAAAGTCATCAGTTGGTCACAGTTCATTCCCTCAAGTTTTGTTTTGAAAATTTTCCTGCTTGAATACCTTGCTGCTGATGCTGTCACATTCTCCTCATTGATAGTTTTCCTGGAGGAGAAGTGAGAATCAATACTTTAAAGAAGAGTTCAGACAGCATTAATAGTAATACAATTAATAATACCCAACTTTTGGCAGCAAGTTGGAAACAAATATTTCAGTATTGTCCCAGCACTTAGAGTATTTGGCTTATACTTCAAAATCAGGTACAGATTGTAATTGCATGATTTTGGCTGATAGTAATCAGATTTCAATGCTAGAAGCACAACAGTTGCTCAGTCGTTTTGATTTGTAGTGACTTCAGGTTTGAAAGCTTTTTAGCCCATTTTCATAGATGCTTTAGGAAACTTTCTTAGACCTTTTCATTTCATAAATTCCCAAACAGATTTATTTTAGATGCATAGCTCTATTTCTTCACAAATATCTATTCAAGACATTAAGAGTGAGGACTAATGTCTCACTGAATTCAGCTTAACAAGCATTAATCTTTTGCTGTGTGCAGAACATGGCAGCTCTAGAGACTATGAAGTCAGCCAGTGTTACTCACCTCCCTCTCCTGTCGCCTCCATTGGACACCTGTCACTCTAGGATCAATTAGAAAATCCTCTCTTTGGCAAAAGCCCTTCAGAACCTGGCCCCTTTTTCCGTTCCAGATTTCTCTGCGTCTGTCCAGGATCCCATCACCTCAGTTTTAAAAACAAATGTTGAAAATTGTTTTTACATGTAATTGGGGAAAAATAAAATACTAAACATTTTTTAAAAGAAAATCATAAGAAGCAGCAAGGTGGTGCAGTGGATAGAGCACCGGCCCTGGAGTCAGGAGGACCTGAGTTCAAATCTGGCCTCAGACACATAACACTAACTGTGTGACCCTGGGCAAGTCACTTAACCCCATTGCCTAGCCAAAAAAAAAAAAAAGAGAGAAAGAGAAAAAAAAAGAAAACCATAAAGTAGTAGAAAAGACAAAAAAACCCCAAACTCCCCCTCCAACACTCTTCCTAGCATATTCTATAATTCAGTGGCACTGGTTTACTTCCTGTTCCTCATAAAAGACACTCTTTCCTGACCATTTCCACTGGCTATCTTCCATGTTGTAGGACTCTGCCTCCTTCTCTCTGCCTCCTGGCTTTCCTGGCTTCTTTTCAGTCTCAACTAACATCCCATCTTCTACTTGGTACCTTGAACCTCTATATGTATAGAGTCACTTGCATGCTGTCTCCCATGTGTCTCTATACTATGATTTCTTCAGAGCAGGGACTAGTTTTTGCCTTTCTTTGTAACCTCAGCATTCAGCCCATTGTGGCTGTGTTGCACACTCTTTGTGCACTGACTGATATAAAGATGATTAAGACAGAGTCCCAGCCCTCATAGAAATGAGTCTTATTTGTACAAGTGCCTTAGACATAGTAAGTGATTACTAAGTGATGTTGAAGGTAAATGATTTTGTGTCTACCATACTGCTATGCAAGGAGTGGTCACTCAACATTGGTTGAATGAAAAAGCTCATGTCAGTATACGTAAATTTGAAAGAAAAGAATCGTATTTTGTACTAATAGTGAATATAAATTCTCATGTATTGCGTTTGATTTGCCAGTTAGAATACTTAAAATTTAAGGCATTGGAAAAAATGCATATTACATCTTCAAACAACTTATGTAATTAAATTGCCTTTTTGTTCAGATAACATGTTTAACATAATTTATTAGAGAGAGGAATAAATGCTATTTCTAAAAATTATCTCAATTAAGACATAGATGAAAATGTTATCATATCCCACTATTTAAGTGTATTTGGAATGGTGTGTCATCTGCATGGTGTGAAACCATTTCTCACTGTGGATTAAGAAATGCTTTTTGTATCCAAATTTTGACAGATATCCCCTAGAAATTCCATACCTGATTATCCAACATCTAGATTATATTGCAATAGTAGCCTGAATAGATGCATTGGCAACAATAAAAAGTGAAGTCATTATGTGCTTTAAGTGTTTAGAAGGCTTTTGACCTTTCTTTGGGTAATTCCTTCCCTGGTCATTGTCTTTAAAACTGAACTCAGTAAGTAATAAATAATTAACCAATAAGTAATTAGCCTTTTCTGGGCATTTTAAGTGACATTATTGACAGTCTACAAAGGAGCTTCTTTGACACTCTAAATATTACAAGGATCTGTAATTTCCTTGTGGTGATGTACTTTTCATCCACCAATATATCTCAGTACACCTTTATACATTGTTAGATGGTCTTTGAGAATTGCTGTGAGCAGACCTTGGTAATGACTTTCATCCTGCACACAACCTGGGGTTCAACTCCAAATTTAATTAGGCCAGGTATATCTGCCTGCTGATGACAAATATATCATCACCCTTAGTGATGCTTTGATAGGGCCTGCTTTGGGACTTATTTTTCACAAATCTACAGTCACCTCTTCACCACCATGAGCCACTGGTGTAGGGTCTTAGTACTGGGTCTTTTCAACATGTGAACAACTGTCAGAACTTTCCCTGACACTTTCATAAAAGATAAATTCCTTTAACTTTTCTCATTTGAATGTTTATATTCCTGAGTCCATAAACATTTAAGTATTTTAGCTTAAGGGGAAAGACAAATGAAAATTTGTTTCTATTTCATTCTTCCTGCCTAATTCTACGTAATGTGGTTTGTGTGTTCTTGTGGACTTGGTGAACAAATCACATTGCCAAAATCTAACATGAAGGCACACATTTAATTCCAGCTTTCAGGGGTTACGATGAAATATAAAGAATCTGTAGAAATGAGTAAAAGGATTTATCCTTATTACTAGTTTTTACAAATAATTATTTTTCAAGAAAATGGATGCTTAGAGAAAAACGGGTCTGCTGTTCACTGATTTATTTATATCTAGCATATTGTAAATCTTATGATTTTAGGGGCCGGACTGGAAAAATCAGAGTACAATCCCTGAAGATTGGATTAATGACTCTCTCCAAAGGTGCCATTGAGGACAAATACAGCTGTGAGTAAGATCTTGTCCTATGTAAATTTAAGTAGTTTTTCTCTTAGAAGGCAGTCTTTTATTGCTATCGTGGCCAATTATTTTCTAAGAGTGAAAATTTGGGAGAGAAAGGGTATAAAATATCATTAAAAAAAAGAAGTAAATGTACCTTAAGTATGATCATTTTGGGATTCATGTATGTATTTCAAACATTCTAAGTTCATTTGATTTTGTGTTTTGGGTTTAGAGGAAGGTGGTTGCTTTCTTGGATAGCTTGACAGCCAGGAGGGGCAGTGAAATGGGATTGGGAATTTGTGTGAAATGAAAAACTGATAGCAGGATCAAAAGGTCAGGTACCCTTGATAGAAAGAGTGAACTAAGCAATTCAGAAAAAAAAAAAGCTTTCCACAAGGCTTTTGTTTTGTGGAGCATTTGTTGCAAGTAAAAATTGTTTTCAGGAGCAGAATCACAAAGAGCTATCATTACTGAAGCCACAGAATACAAGTTATTATGTATGTAAGTGGGAAAAACAAATAATAAGATAAATGTCATCACTTCATGCCCAAACTATATCAATAACCTGTTAGTCAATCTGCTGGCCCTCCTGCTCAGTAAATTCCTGTGTCCCCCTATTGTCTTCAGAATCAAATAGAATGGCCTCTGTTTGGCAATCATAGCCCTTGGTAACCTGACCCTTCCTACCTTTCTAGTCTTCTTAAATTTTACCCTCCTCCACCCACATTCCCAAGTATTCTACAGTACAGTGACACTGGATTCTTTGTTTTTCTTTACATAAGATACTCCCAACTCCCAGGCATTTCCACTGGCTATCTCCCAAGCTTGAAATGTTTTCCCTCCTCCATTCTGTTTCTTCCTTCAAGCTGCAGCTAACACCTCACCTTCTTCAGGAAAATTTTCCTAATTCCTCTGAATTCTAGGGCCTCCTTCTCTCTTTTGAGTATTTCCAGTGATGCGGTCTAGAGGTTAGGGGTCCTAGAATCTCAAAATCATGACACCTGGGTCCTGCTCAAAAGAATTCGACCCAAGCCTTCTTGCAGCCAAAAACAAGGTTTATTGAAGATTCACCATATTAGCTAGACTCTTAAGGAATCTGAGCATCTAAGGGCTATTGGCTAGATTCTAAGAATCAGAGCATCTTAAGGAAGACAAGATGGACTTTATATACAGAAAGATTGTGGGAGGGATCTAGGAGTGGCCAAGTAGTCCATGAGGTAATAGAATTACCAAGGGTGGGAAGTGGCCTGGGGCCATAGGGAGGCAAAACAATGGAGGGGAGATTGGGTGTAGCCACAATGAAAGGCCAGTTGATGGGATTATAGCCTCAGGGGAATGCCAGAGATTTGGCCACGTGGGAAAGTCCCGGGTTTTTCCTTTCTGGGGCCCAGATCCCAACCCCATCATCCAGTATTTCCTTTATCTGGTTTGTTTGTACATAGTTGTTTACATGTAGTTTCTCCCATTAGACCATGAGCTCCTTGAAAGCAAGCACTGTCTTTTGCCCTTCTTTGTATCCACAGAGTTGAGCACAAAGCCTAGCACCTAGGAGGTGCTTAATTGATGTCTATTCCCTGCTCCTCTAATCTCTGTCATTCAGAGTCATTCCTTGCCAGGGTGAAAATCCTTTTTTCATACTCTGCAGCCTGTCTGCCCCATATACCTCAGCACCTGCCTCTTTTCAAGTCCTGAGGCTTCTTTTCCTGCCTTTTTCACTGTGCCCTCTAGCACCCCTTTTCTGTTTTTAAAAAGTAACCAAAACAAAATTCCATTTCATCCTTTCCTCCTTCATGTATTTCAATCAATTTAAAGCATTATTTGAATGCCTTCATCATGCCAGGCACTGTGCTGAAACCTTGGGTTTTTTGTTTTTGTTTTTGTTTTTTGTTTTCCTGAATACTCTATCTCCCTCACCACCCTCTCCAAGACAGCCTCACATTCTCCTTTCACATTCTCCTGAATGCCAGGCAGACATATCACCATTCTTGCTCTCCACTGCTCCTTCCAGATCCCTGTTCTGCCACATCATTCACCAGCCCCTCTTCTTTAGAAGTTTTTTTTATGGCATCTCATATAATCAGCCTGTATCAGTCCTCATAGCTGCTTTCTTCCAACTCTCACATCAGCCTACCACGTTTCTCAATGACTTTTCAATGACTTACCATTTTTCTCTGGGTTCATATCCTGCTTTGGATACTGGTTGCATGATTATAAATAAGTCATTTAACCTCCCTGATCCTCAATTTTCCCATCAGCAACCAGATACAATAATGCCTGTAGTACTTATCTCAAAAGTTGTTGTGATGCTCAAATTGGAAAGAGCAAACTTTGCAGGGCCATATACATATCAGCTATTGTTATAGCATGAAATGAAGTCTACTGAGTTTGACATTTTATTCCCTACTCATTACAGCTTCTGTCTACCTGTCTAGCCATATTTCCCATGCACTTTGCTCCAGCCATACTATAGAACTAGTTGTTTCTCCAGTTTATCCTTCCCTCTCTCACTTCCCTTCGTTTGTGTAGTCAGCCCTTCTAATTATAATGCCCTCCAACCATATCTCTGTGTGTTAAAATTCTTCTTTCAATATCTAGTTTAGATGCCCCTTCATCTGCAAATCCTTCCCTGATTCCCAGCAGATGAAACTGATTTCTCTTTTCTCAAATTTCTACTCTAAATTTTTTGTCTGTATTTTTTTCTTTGTCCTTATAACATTTAATTTCATATTATACTTCTTTGTGTGTTGTGTCTTATGCCCTCTATTAAATTATAAGGTCCTTGAGGGGGCAGTGATGATGTTTTTAATCTTTGTACAGGGTTATGCTAATATTTAATCTTTAGGTTAATTTAATTTTTTATTTAATATTTATTTAAAAACATTTGTTAAATATTGAACAACTAGCTTTCCAGGGTGGAAATGTACACACAACACATTTTTTAAAAGTTTAATCTGCATTACTACCATTTTCTCCATCCCTTCCTTCCATCTCTTCCTTAAGTCTAAATAATTGACAAAACATTAAATCAAGCCCTGATTTGTAGCGTTTGCCCCTTACCAAGGTTTAAGATGCTCACACTGAAAATTTGCAGTTTGAATTGGCTCCGATGCTCTACTTTGTATGTCTAGTGCCTAACAAGTCACCTTGAATATAATAAACACTTTCTTCTTTTTGAACTGCACTGATTTGAACTGAAAATATGGCTGTTCCAAAGGGGAACATATGAAATGTAGAAGCTCTCATTTGTGATAAATTCAGTTGCACTCCTTGGTAAAGATATGCAAATTATTTTTGAATGCTTATTGTGTGCCAAGCACTTATGAAGGAATCAGCTTCGGACTTTCAAATTCTGTGATTCTTTGGGTCCAAATATTGGTATGGCGTCCTATTTCTTTTTTGTTTTTTAGGAAGTGGGATTTTTTTTTTTTACTTTGAACAGATGAAACCTAAAGTGGTGAATCACATGTGTTTTTTTTTATGTTTTATTTTCTTCTAAGATCCGTTGGAAGTTTTGGATGTTATTTGACTTTATCATGTAGATATAGATACTATGACACTTTTTTTTTTCCAATAAGGTCTCTTTTGTTAGCATTAATATTCAAGTCATCCTGCTTTTTAAATTCAATGACAGAGCTTCAATTCAGTCAGGGTCAATTGATATAACCTTGGCACTGATTTCTCTAGGGTCCAATTCCATTGTCTTCACCTCTTATGAAACCTCCGTTGGATTTCTTAACTCGAGCCTCTTTATATCATTCATAAAAACCTGATTATGGAGGTTTTGCCTTTTACAAAAATCTGATGAATTATCTACATATGTTCTGTGCATCAAAAGTGATGTAACTAACTACAAATGACATATGTATCCTAAGCCACACCCAGGGCTGATATTAATGATTATGAATTGTATGAACTATTATGAAACAATAGATCAGCATGTTTATGGAAAATATACCATCTTCTTTCCTTGCAATATATGAATGTTTTATCCATTTCCCATTTTGTTTAGTCAGCCTTTCTAATTATAATGCCCAACCCCCCCCCCCCCCCAATCTTCATAGTATCTTTCTGTTCTTTTTGTGTCAGCTTGTTTCATTTACAAAAGGGAAGATGAAACCTACTGTATAAATATTTGGAAATAGAAGGGTTTTTTTTTTACATCTTTTTTACTTTATCCATTTTTTTCAAGTGACATCATATTTATAAGGTACTTAGTACGGGGCCTGGAACATAGTTAACACTATATTTATTCTCTTTCTTAGAATGTAAATATTTTAGTCAAAATTTAAACATTTCATAAAACTTTGTTTTTTTTCTCTTTTAAAAATCACTGTTACTATACAAAGTTGACTACAGTAATATAGAAGTATTTTCTCATGAACTCTTTGAAAATTAAATATTTTTTCTTTTGCTTTTTTACAAACCAATTATACATCATGGAAAATAGTGTGGAAATAATAATGAAAATAATTTATAATAATAAGGTCACATTTGTCAAATGCTCTAAACTTTGCAAAGTGTTTTCATGTGTTATCTGATTTGATCTTCCTAATAGCACTCAGTTAGGTAGGAGCTGTTATTATCCTTATTTTACATATGAGGAAACTGAACTTGAAAGAAATTAAGTGAATTCTCCAGGGTCATACACCTAGTAAGTATCTGGAGCAGGATTGGTACTTTCTACTCCCAGTGTAGCCTTCTGTCCATTGTACCACTAAGCTGTTTATTCTGTATTCCTCGCTCCTTTTTCCCTGATGCATCGTCCATATTTAACCCCAAATTGAATAGGTATCCAGGGTTTCTGATTGTTTAGCAGAGTTCCCCAACCAGTTAATCTCAATGTATGCTTTTTTGAACACTCTCAATTGGATCCATGGAAGTTGATGCCTTCATTAATTTTGACCTTCTACACAAGATGAATGTTTCTCTTCAGAAGAAAGTTTCCCCTAATGTAAACATATTTTTAGATTCCTAAAAGGGGAAAAAAAATAACAGTGAGTTAAAGTAAAACTTGCAACCTCATCTTCCAGTGTTTCCCCAAATTACCAATAATCAACCAAATACAAAAATTCCTTACTTGTTTTTCAGTGTTTGTCAATGTGAGTACTGTTGTCTGCCCATGCGTCTCACAGCCCCTTCATAACTTAATAAACGGTCTTCAAGGGTTGCTGTGATTGAAGAATTCACTTCCCTTTAGTCAATCTGGTGCTGACCTTCTCTGAACTAAGCCTTGTCTTCAGAATATAAAAAAATGTAGTGTATTCCTAGATCCATATTCAAGGACTTTCAAGGCCTAGAAGTAGTAACAGCATTTGTTTTCTGCTGAGATTCCTTCTAAGGAACTGAGGTCACTTCCATTCCTTGTGGAACAGGACTTTATTCAAGACCCTACTTATATTAATTGAAATGTATCAAAACGCTTAGAAAAATTAGGAAGATAAGAGAATTTTTTTTTTTGTTTTCTGCTTTATAAGAATTTTCTTTTCCCAATGGCATGGCAAAATGTTGTCTCTTTTATCAACATGGACTAATTCTCAGTTCTGGGAAAGTCAGATCTAATTGATAATTGGTATTTTGTAATAGTATGGTACATTTATATGGTAACAAAGTTTGATCTTCAATAGCAAACTCATTCTTTTTTTTTTGGTGGGGGGTGAGAATTGCTTTGTAGGCCTAAGTTCCTAGTAACATAAATATTGAAAGGGATCAGTGTTTTCATCAGTGTAGATCTTCCCTACAAAATGCAGAGTGCAGTCCCTCCTCACCTACCCATCCATACAACTCTTATCCATCTCTTCCCAATATTTTTGGCACAGATAGTATATCTAAAGCTTTGGGAAGCCTTCTTCTCTTCTTTTATCTTTGTAAGGACAGCAGTGGAATGCATGGGCTATACACTGGTTCTCCCCAGTTCATGACCACTTGACATCTTTTTCAATCAGATATTTCCCTGGTAATATTCCTTGCTTCAGTTCTCCTTCAAAGTTCTTGATTTTATGTTGTAGCTTGTTCACACCATGAAACTCTCCAGTAAACTCTGTGATACTCTTAATTTTTCACTGACTATTTCATGACTCCACTAGTTGAATACTGCTATTAAAAAGATGGGTCTTTTTTTGTTTGAGAAGTAATGACATAAAATATTTACAAAACAGTATCAGTATCAAAATGATATGGAAAGCATTTTTTATTATAGTGGTCTTTAAATAAAAAAGTGTTCTAATAAAATATATTTGAACAAATGATGATGAAAATTAAATTTATCTTAATTGAATTTCCTTTCCCTGTGTATCCTTATAATTAAAGCCATATTTTATTGTAATTACTGTGTCAATATCCCTGTACTTGGCTCAGTTACTTTGCGAGTAGAATTTTGACAATATTAGATCCATCATTAGCATGCTTTTCATCAAGGCTGATACATGTTAGACTGGTATTCGGATGTAAAACAAAATAAGATTTCTCCTAGCACTATTTGGGGGTATCTTAATATTATATAAGTAAATGGACACTATCATTCTGTCCACTAAAGCTTCATATGGAGAACATTTATATTTGTGTTCTTCCTATGTTTAGAGATTTGTTTCTAGAAATAATTTGTTTCCTTCATTAAATGAAATTTTTTTGAAATTCCTTCACACTCAGTAAACTAATTTGTTTGACTGATTTTGCTTTACTTATTGGAAATTTTTACATCTGAAATGTTGCATTATAGTGAAAAGAAATTGTTCTGCCAAAAACCAGAAAGAAGAGGGCTCATTAATTGTTGTTGAGCCAAGATAATTAAAAAGCTGTTAGCTTATGATTTTTCTTTCTATGATTAGAAAGGACTTAGAATTAAGGATTTACACAAATTGGTAGCAATTTGTCTTTGAGATCTGTACAAATGTATTTCCTTCAATAGGAAGAATGATAGTAGTTCCTAAAACAGTGCAAGACCAGAAGAGCTTAGAAAGTTAAATCAGGAAGCAAAAATGTTTAATTATAGTTCTTATAGGGTTTATAGTAAAGTACATGTGGTGTGTTTCCAAGTGATGTGTTTGGCATCTGGAATAAAAACAGGTCTGTCAAAATTTAAATGTTTACTGTTCAGAATATCTCTCTCTGACAGGCTGCAGAAGAAAATTTGTTTTGACACACTGTCTTTGAATAGGAAGGTAAACCCATATTGAGTTCATAAAACTAGGTCACAGACTCATAATGTGTCACTTTGAAAGAATTTTTTTTATTTAGTGATAAGCTTGTAATTATGATTGGCATACAGAGTCTGATTTTCTGCAAATTAGGTGCAGTTTAGCCAATTAGCTGATGGTCAGATACCTTTCAATATTTATGGACTATGCTTTATTGAAGGACTTTAGAGCTTATGAGTTGACTTCCCTATGAGTTATTCTTATGAGTTGTTCTTTCCCCTTTGAAATGTTTTGGTTTCTAGAGTTGAACTATGACAATAAAGTACAGTAAATTTTTCTATTTTCATATGTTTGTGTATGTATATTTACACATATCATATATGTAATTTCTGTGTTCCAGATCTCTTTAAGGTGGTAGCAGGGCCTACAGAGATGTGTGACCAAAGGCAGCTTGGCCTTTTGCTTCATGATATCATCCAGATCCCTCGGCAACTTGGGGAAGTGGCAGCTTTCGGTGGTAGCAATATTGAACCTAGCGTTCGAAGCTGCTTCCAGCAGGTAAAAACAACAACTAAAGGAACGTCTTCATACTGAAACATTTCTGTTGCTTATCTATCCCCTCCAGCTGTGGTTCCAGCTCATTTCTTCACTCACCAAACTTCTAGAGAGATTAGTCTTCACTCATTGCCTATATTTCCTCATCACCCACTTCCCAACTCCTTCTGTTCTGGCTTCTTCCCCATAGAACTGAAACTGATGTGCAGTTCCCCATTCTGGGTTCTATTCCCAAGGTTTCACTCTTAACACAGTATGCTCTTCTTTAGTGGATGAATATGTTGGACTCATAGGGATGTTTTGAGAATAACAATGGTCTGCTCAAATGTAACATGCCCTGAGCTTTTCAAAACAAAAACATTTTATAAATAAAAAGTAGAATCACCATAAAGTATCATTTTGTCTTGATATGTATTTATTTCAAAAAGCCTTCTAAATAAAAAAGATCATATCTCATAGAGCTATGAGAGACCCTAGAGGTTATCTAGTCCAAACTCCTCAGGACACTGAGACCCATAGAAGTAAAATGAATTTGTCCCACGGTCTCGCAATGGATATATAGAGAGCCAAGAAATCATAGAGCTAGTAAGTAGTACAACTAGGATTTGAACCCAGATCCAGTGCTGTGGTGACTTAAGAATACTATTATGAAACTTAATCCTGCAAAAACATAGCCCAAAATTAAGAGAGCCCTTTCTGTTATATGTGGTACTTATCATGGATAATTAGTATGTTTAAATGTTAGTGCTACTATTGTACATATATTAGTGTCCAAACAGTACATACAAGGCCAAGATTTTACCAAAGGATATAAAAATGTATGACTTATTCACCTGGAGGTGCGGGTGGCAGTAGCGGGGATTTTGCATAGACTTTCTCTTAGGGCTGAAAAATACTATAGTTTAATGACAACCCTGGTTCAAAAAAAAATTTTTTTTTTTATGGCAACGGACTTATTTCCTTTAAGAAAGAAAAAAATTGCAAATTCGCAAATACTTGCAGTTTCCATCTTTACAAATTGTGCAAGTATAATTTGTTTTCACACACAGGAACATTAGATTGCTTTCAGTAACAAGAGAATAAATTAATCAAAATTTAATCTGGCACATTTGCAGATTATTTTGTATTGGAGGCAGAGACCTGGCAAGTTTTATAGAATTTGTCATTTTGTCCTCTAGAAGTTTTTATAAAATAAATTCACAGAAGCAGAATTTTGTGCATCCTCCAGTCCAACCTCATACTGGCTTTGAGCATTTGATGAAATAAAGAGCAAGAATACTTTAGTTTAGAAAACATATAAATTTCAAGTTTCATTTGAAAAGAATATAGCCAAATCTAACTTAAATATTGACCTCCAAAATTTGTTGATAATGTTGGATATTTTGGTCATTTTAATAGATATTTAATGATCTTTGAAAGATGTGTATGGATCAAGAGACTATGAAAAGCAAAAATCAGTCAGTTAATAAGCATTTATTAAGCTCTTGTTATATAATAGGCATTGTGCTAAGTGCTGAGGATACAAAGAAAGGTAGTAGACATTTTTTAGCCTTGATAGTAGGGGAGGTGGAAATGACAAGCAAATCCATATGTACAAACAAGCTCAATACAGGATAAATCCAAAATAATTTAAAGAGGGAAGGCAGTACAATTAAGAGGAATTAGGAAAGGTTTCCTGTACAAGGTGAGATTTAAACTGAGACATTGGGAAAGCCATGGAGTCTAGAAAGCAGAGACTAGAAATTAGAGCATTCCAAGGGTAGGGAGTTAAGAAGGAAAGGGGCAGCCAGAGAAAGTGCCTTGGTGGATAGATAGAGTGTTTTTCTTAGAATAGCAAGGAAGCCAACGTCACTGTGTCAAAGAGTATATGAGGTTGTGGGAGGTGGGTGTGAGAAGGGAGGAAATGTGTAAGAAGACTTCAAAACTGGAGGTTGGGGATAGGTTATAAAGACTTTGAATGCCAAACAGAATTTTTTATTTGATCCTGACATAATACAAAGCCACTGGAGCTTCTTGAATACTGGGGTTGGACCAGTGCTTTAGTCATAATTTTTGGTACTTTTGAAAGGTATTAAAAATTAATCCTAGATGATATATATTTTCTTCTTATTCTATGTGACTGTTTCTACTCTGACTAGTTACAGAAATGTAAAATTTTAGCAGAAGAAAAAAACCTTAGTGATCATGAAACCCAGCCCTCCTATCTCACCCATCAGGAAATTGAGATTAAGAAAAATTAAGTGATTTTGTCCAGGGTCACTAAGCTTCCCTTTGTTATCAGCCTCAAGATCTGCAAAATTCCAAGGAAGACCTGTGCAATTGTGATGATTTTATATAAATGTTAAATGTTTATCTCAGCTTCCATTCAAATTTTTTATTTAAAAAAACCTTTTTTTTTAAACAGAGTCACAATAAGCCAGAGATAAGTGTAAACGATTTTATAGAATGGATGCGTTTGGAGCCACAGTCCATGGTATGGCTGCCACTTTTACATCGTGTAGCATCCTCAGAGACTGCAAAACATCAGGCAAAGTGCAACATCTGTAAAGAATATCCCATCGTTGGGTTCAGGTAAGAGAAGCTTTATGGTCAAATTTTGGGTTTCATCCATGGCGTGCCCCTTCCTTATTGTGATGGCACTTGCCCTTCTATCTCATTGGCACCCGTTCCTTAGTCATCCTCAGACTTAGAAGTTCTAAGTATTTCTGCAGAACTGCTGTGTTGTGGTATCAGTTTGCGTTCCATGACCTTTCCACAGGTTACAAAAGCATTCATGCATGATTCCTCCATGACTGAAAGGAAAATAAAATTAACAGAACAACAACAACCACCTTTGCTGGGATTCGGTAGGCTGTCAGAATACAGGGAAGCTGAAGTACTTCTAAGACCTTTAGGCTTATTCCCAGAGAACAAGAAGTAACTTATAAATGCAAACTGAGAAGTACTAAAATTATACTTAGCTTCTCTTTAATCTTTCCTTTAAAGCAATGAATGACCCTGTTACTTAATTTCTTGTCTTGTACGCTGTTAAACAGTATCATTAAATGTAGACAGTGTACCAAGAATCATTTTTTTCTGACCATCTCCCACTGTCATGCCCCCCAAAGCTGGGAGTGTCCTGGAGCCAGCCTTAACTAGGGAGTGCTGATTGCTAAGTTTTCAGTATGAATATTTATACCTCATAAATTGGCAGTTTAAGACCATGACTTGATTTATTGTTTTGTTGACTGTCTAGCCTTAAAAAAGTATTAATAATGTAAACTTACCTTAAAAGTATGCATGCATATGTATTTCCCCCCAAGAGCTAGGTAATTAAACATTTACCAGTATACACCCTGTATTGCTCCGTACACGTTCTTTGAGTTTAGCCGTAGTGCAGCAGAGGGGCAGGGAATGAAGTCATCACCAGAAGGGAGATTTCAGGACTATTGTTGTTTAATCTTTTCTTCAGTCATGTCTGATTCTCTGTGACCCCATTTGGACTTATCTTGGCAAAGATACTAGTCCAGTTTGACAAGCCCTTCCCCAGCTCATTTTAAAGATGAGAAATTGAGGCAGATGGGGTTAAGTGACTTGCTCAGGGTTGCACAGCTAGTAAGTGTCAGGGGCTAAATTTGAACTCGTGTCCTCCTGATTCCTGGTCTGGCAATCTCTCACTGAACCACCCAGCTGCCCTAATAACTATAAGCTGTTAATAATAATAATAGTTATTATTATACAACATTAAATATAATAGTGTTTTATTATCTTATTATACATTTTCACATTGTGTTAATATTATATTAATAATGTTATAGAATAATAATTGGCATTTATGTAGAACTTTAATGTTTGAAAAGTATTTTACATCATCTTGTTTGAGCCTCCCAACACCCTTGCCTAAAGCAAATTTATCTTCATTTGTCCTTGATTTGACCCTGGTACATATTGCTTGCTGCAGTGACCTTTTCACAAGTCTCCTTGCAAGATAAACATTCATCAAAGATGTCATTGTCCAGAGAGATTATTCTAAGAAGTTTATTCAGGTTTTTCCGCAAGACATTCGAGGAAGTTAACAGTAAACATTTGCAAATTTAATTTGGAAATATAAAAATTGCAATCTCAGAATTTTTAATAGTGCCACTCAGAATTTCATGCACACATTTTCAAGCACCCAGGTTAGTAATCAGAAACAACACACATATTTATAGGTATATAAAATAAATACAAATATATGTAAGTTTTCCTTTCAGGTAACCAATCTGTGTCTGTTCCAAATAGGATTACTGTAGGGTTTCCCAATTGCTTTCTCTGATCCTTTTCTAAAATACTAGTTAATGGACCAGTATTACTCTCATTCAGCTTTGTTTCTATTTTTCTGGTGTTTATCTTGTTTCTATTCTTCATCAAAACAGAATGGTACTGAAGATGTGGCCAAAACCATGATATTCGTTTAAACTAAACTCACAAAAGGTTCTTAGAAGTAAATTTCCTTTCAGAAGAATAAAAATTTAAGTTATAGCAATCTTTGGCCGATTGAAAGAGTAAGCATTGAGTGTCATTTATATGCTAAGATTTCAAAGCATTCTTTCTCTGCAGGTATATTTTGGAATTAAGCCTTCCTTCAGACTTTTCTTCCCTGTATTTTTTTCTCCTTTTCACAGAATTCATTCCAGTTATTTTAATTTCCAATTATCATAAATTTTGAAAAAAAGGAAAAAAAAACCTATTCCAAATAACTGTTTTAGTTTAAATATCCATATCATAGATCTGCAGCTTCAATGGACCTTGAGTGCTATCTTATGAAATCCCTCCTGTTTATAGATGTACTAATTTAGGCCTAAGGGATTAATTGAATTGTGCAAGATCACAAAAGTACTATCAGAGGCAGAATTTGAACAAACCAGGTAGTCTGACAGGAACTCTTTTCCCCTAAAATCTAGGGGAATTTTACTGTTCTGTGGCCTGGAACATGTCTGCCAAAAGCATCCTTCATTGAGTCTATGAGAGTTGTTCTTATCAAAAGTATAATTTATCCTTCTACAAGTTCTGAATATATAGTTAGTTATAAATCTGTCTTTACTTTTGCCCAGACATTTTGTCTTCATATTCAGAATTCTACAAAATGTTAATAACATGCAGACATTGGCTCCCTGAATGTTATATTTGAACACATGGAAACTGGTATACTATCTTGAACTTAAGTATTTTCAGCCTTTATATCCAACCATTTCCAGGAAATGGTTTCATTAGTTGTCTTTGAAATATTCAGTGTTCACTTTCTTCTAATGAGTAGCTAGGTCAGTGCAAGGGCCCTACTCTTGTTGGAAACGGCCTCTGGTATTTGCCATGGTGATTTCGAGAAACGACATTTCTTGGGGTAAATTATCATACTGTGCTGAAATATGTTGTCCATCAAAGGGCACAAATTAGAGGTATGTCCACCGATGAGTTTAACTCTTCTTTTCATATCCAGGTATAGAAGTCTAAGACATTTCAACTACGATATTTGCCAGAGTTGCTTCTTTGTGGGTCGAACAACAAAGGGTCACAAATTACCCTTCCCGATGGTGGAGTACTGTATACCTGTAAGTCCTGATTCCCTGGAACTTTCAGATGAGTTGTTCTAGAATTACTCAGTCTTAAGTCTCTCTTACTTCAGACTTGATAAGTCAGATTGCTTTCCTCCTTTTTGGAAAAGTAAATCAGTTTGTTTACCTATGTTTATTCAACTAAACGCACATACACACATATATTTGTTTAGCACTCTTTAGTTTACAGACTAATTGTTGCTCAGTCATTAATCCAAATTAATATATTGAGCTCTATTATTCACATATGGGTTTTGCTTTCACAATTGTTCTCTGTAGCAACCCAAACCTGACTTGTTTTAAAAATATGATTTCATTAGAAATTATCTTTCTCTTTGATTCTTAAACATAAGTAATTTTCTCTGAAATTAGATGGATTCAAATAGACCTTATTTTCTCGTGACATCTGTTTCTTAGTTCTGCTTCTAGTTGTGAATAAAAATGATTCATAGAGATATATAATTTCTTTGATTCAGGATTCAAGGTGCTCTTTCAGGCTATATAAAGTTGAGCTTCCTCTGAAACGTTTGTGCTTCCCATAAAACATAAATACACAAAATGCATATTTTTCCAAAAAAATAACTATCATAAAAATTCTGGGAAAGAAGATGTAGAGGATGTTTCCAAAAGAGGATGTCTCCAAAAGAAAGTAACTTTTACTAGGGAAAAAAAATCACTAACTTTTTTCCTACCTTTTTAGCAGTGCACATATAGCTATTTTTTTTCCTATTCCTGGAGGGAGAATTTAGGTACATAGTCCATATAATATCTTAAATTTCAACCTAGAGATTATAAAAATCTAATGAAAAAATGAAAAAATTTATAAATTAAAATCTATAAACATGCTTTTCTTTTTATAGCAAATATACCTTAACATAGAAAAAAGTGTGGTAAATGTATGTTAGTTACATATTGTTTATAAAGACATAATAAGACATTATTAAAATTAAAGACAATATAAAAATTAAAGATATAATTTTTAAAGACATAATAATGTGCTTTTTCATTCTCTGTATTAGCTATCTTTTTGTTCTCTTTCCATTGTCTCTATTATTTCTTCATAGGGAATGAAGGAAGAGTAGGACTTATCTCTTCTGGAAAGAAACACACAGAAAAGCTCTCTCTCTGTGTCTCTGTCTGTCTTTCTCTGTGTCTCTCTTTTCCCTTTCCTCCTCTCTCTTTTGTGCCCCCCCGTTTTTCTTCTCTCTTTATCCCTCCCTTTAGTATGATGCCTGGCACATATGAGGTGCTTCTTAATAAATATTGATTGATTGATAGGTGCACATATACATACACAAGGGGAAGAGAAGCCCACACTATACAACATGAACTCTTTAGACTATTCATCTCATTCAGAAAAAGTGCTCTGCAGAGAACTCCCCAGTGAAACTAGGTAGCACCAGCTAAGGTAGAAGCCCAAGAAAACTTTGCAGATTGGGTTTTACAGCTGCTACATTACTGTCACGTTTAGATGGCAGGTGCTGCCCTCCTCCAGGCATGATTTCACCTGTGAGGTGTGGGGTTGTAAGTGTTGTGGCTACACTACCCAGTGGAGACTAGCAGGGAATAATAATACTAAAAGTCATTGTCACCTACTGGACTGAGACTGTTATAGAAAACTGAGGAGACCTCAGTTCAAAAAAATAAGTTGAATTTGAAAAGTTGCCCAGAAATTAAGAAGCTAGTTTCTAATTTATGAATTAGCTAACCTTTATTCCTTTTGGAAAAAGAGGCATGGCATTTTTTAGATCAAAATATTATTGTCCATAGAAATAGGTCATATCAAGGTCGTAAGTTTTTATTTAATATAAATTTTTTAATGAATTTTATAAAAATGTAAATATTCTTGTACTTTTGTTTTGCTTGATTTTTTCAGTGTCTGAAAAACTATTTTTTTCCTTTCTTCCTACATTCTTAGAAACACTTTAAATTTTTGCTATTTTCCTTTTAAGTAAAATATATTTAAGGTTCATCCATCTTTTACCCAACAGTTCAATAAACTTGATTTAACATCCGTCTAAGAAAATGAACACCAATATGTGGTTTTTCAGTGTGGTGGTAATAAGTGCTGAATGAATGAGTGCTAAATTAGATTAGACTGCCAACCTTGATTCCAGTCTGGCTATGTTATACAACACACCTTCATTTGTAGTTAAGAAAATGCTTCTTTCCTGTCACAGGCCTGAATTTAATTTCAGTATTGCCTTTAATGTCTTCTAATTGCTAAACCTGTCTACTAAATCTTAATGTTTATGTTCTTCATAGTTTTTTTATTTAACATCATCTTACTTTAAATCAACTTCAGATTAAAAAAAATGTAGGTAAAGAGGTCGGGGCCAAATTTGGAGAGGTTTTCTTTTTTTTTATTAAAATTTTTTTTTATTATATTGCTCAAGGCAGCATGGTACAATGGAGAGAGAGCAGGTCTCCTGCCTCTAACATCTACTATCTTTGTGACCTTGGCCAAGTTATTTAACCTCTTAATGTTCTCAGCAACTCTCTAATGCTCTAAGTTACAGTGAAGGTGCCACTCTGCATTGGTTGAGGGAGTTTCTTCATATCAGAAAAATCTCAGTTATTTGATTAATTTACAGTTTTATTTTAAGAGTATTCATTCATGTTAGCAAAATGAAACAGAATTACGGAATTAATCAGACTCCTCAAGAAATAAATAGGAGTGATTGTTATATTCTACCTTGGTGAGACCACACCTACAGAAGTGGGTTTCGTTCTGGTATCACATGTTAAGAAGCACATTCACAAGCTGGGAAGCATCCAGAGAAAGGAAACGAGGATGTTAAAGTTGATCCCATATAAGGATGGCTTGAAAAGGATCTGGGAATCTTTAACCTGAAGAAGAAAAGAATCCAGGGACACAATAGTTGTGTTCAAGTATTTGAAAGGTTGTCATGTGGAAGAGAGGTCATATTTGTTCTGATTGGTCCCAGGGGGCAGAAGTAGGTACAGTGGTTAGGAGTTACAAAAAGTAAATTGTAATCTGTTAGGAAGAGTGACTTCAGATCTTGAGCTGAAGCTAACCAATAGTGAAGTTGACCATCTTGGGAGTGGTAGTGGGTTTCTCTTCATTTGACAAGCAAAAGCTGGATCCTTACTCCTCCAGTTGGACTAGATGTCCATTCTGATTTTAAGATTCTGTAAAAATTCAGACATTTACATGATTTATATGAATTAGGATTAGACAGTGATCCTGAAGAACTTCATTAATAACTTATTATTGAAACTCATTTCTCCCTTCATGATAGTTCTTTTAGCACATGGCATGCCACCTGTCACCTTTAAACAGATTAAAAATTCAGGCACCTATAAAATTCTATGATTCTATAATGTGGTGGTTTCTAATTATTGTATATGAACTTTGTTCCCTGCAAACTTAAATTTAAAATATCACCTTTGACAAGTCTATAGTGGTTATGTATTTCCAAACTGAAGATGACCCTAAGTGTTCTAGTTTTTTTTTTTATAAGTGCTGTTAATATTTAATGTGCAGAGCAGTTAACTAAAATTATCTTTCTCCATAGATATGCATAACAGGATGGACAAAGCATAAGGCAATATTAGTATGACTGAAGGTTTAACTCCTGTGCAGAATGTGTATACACATATGAGAAGCAATGAAATTTTCCATGTTGACTGTTTTAGCTTCTTTAGAGCAAGTTGTGTCCTAAAAGCTCATTTTTACTGACATTTTGAGCTTGGGAATAATTTCCCCAAGTGTTCCACTCTGTTTTCCCATAGTTATTTCTAAACAGCAAAGAGTTAGTGTATAGGTGATCCTGAGCATATTTTCTTCAGTTACTATTTATTGATTCTCACAAAGCAGATTCTTTTTTTTTAAATAAGCATTGTTTTTTACCTTAATAAAAGGGGGGGAAGGACCAAACAATGAAGAAAGAAGAGATTTAAACTGAGAGATGAAATTTTGTATTTCACACTTTAGAATGATTACTTTCTCCTCTAAAAGCCAGTCAGAAACAACTACATATCCATATAGCTATCAAAACCCTTTCTTCTCTCTACCATTATGTGTAATAATGCAATGTGAGTTATGCTTTTATCTTTTAGTTTTAAAAATGGCTGCATTTTATATTAAAGTTATGGTTTTGAGGCATTTGATTGGAATACATGCCAAATATACAAATTTTCTCAAATCATTTGCAAAGATTTTATCTTCTTTAAATTACTTTCTTTTCTATATCTCTGCAGGTAAACAAAAATTAGCGCAAATAAAATACTAACCTAAGATTAGCTCCTTGAAGGACATTCTTCCTCTTATAAACATGACATCTATTGCTTTAGCAGCTTAATAATACCTAAGTGTCAGAATCATATTTGTCTCCTAGAAGGTGTTTGGCATCTCTTTTTTCTGAGAACAGTATGTAGTACAATTCCCCTTTTTGATTACACCCTCCACTCATGCTCTCAGGTTGGATCTCAAGAGGACAGTGACCCTATGTTCTTTGTATCCTCTTGGTATGCCATCCTAAAACTACAGTTCACCTTACCCCATCAGTGTGCTTAACTTTAGTATCAGCCAGAGGACACAATTTGCTCAAAGCAATGATATTTACTAAGATTGCAATGCCCCCGACTATGTGGGCACACATAAAATACAGTAGTAGAGAAGCATACGCTTAGGGAATGGAAGGCACCACATACCTCTGGCTCTCAACAGCCTGAATGTCCTTTCATTTCTCTTCTCATACTGACATCTCTGGTAAAACTTACATCCCTTAGAGCTGTGTCTGACCTTGGAGAGCATCTTGTTTTTTCAAAGGTCACAGGAGAGCATGGCAGATACTGTGATTAGCCACTGACTAGCTGCCATCTAAGTCCATCAAGCTTGACTGAAGAACTTTTCACTGTAAAGGAGTAACAATGTACAAATACCTCTTTGCATTTTGTTGTTCCTTAATATCTCTTTGTCTCTGTTAATTTCCCTCTCTGGCTTTAATTTATTTTTAAAATTATTTTTATTG